TAGCACAGCAGCAGCCCTGACCAGACCCGTAGGTCCTACAGAGGCTTTGCTTCTCCCACTGCTTCCAGAATCTAAAGAAGGGCCACTTAACAGAATGTGGACTCTGGTTTCCCCGTTAGCTTTCTAAAAGGTCCAGGTGACATAACACCGATATTAAGTGGGATTTAAGTCCCTGTGGACAAATCTGACCACAGGAAACAGAAAATAGGATGGCACAGGCACATTCTTTCCTCTCCCCTCCTTCCTGCAATAAACACTCCCAAGTTTGATTTTCTAAATAGCCTGTCCAGGGACCTCCATGAGGCTCAGTGAAGTTGCGACCTGCTCGGGAATGCATCACCTTGTATTTTCCTTCCCCATCCTTTCCTGTCAAACTTCCCTTTCCCCTCGCTCTTGCTTCTCTGGGATTGTACCTCCCAATAATGCATTAGCACTTAAACCTTGCTTAGCTTTAAGGGAACCTGAGCTAAAGATACCTGTGAACTCACATTTTCTAGGCATGCTCGCTAACTGGCCTCTGGATAGGTTCGGCCAATGGAAAGAGCTAATGGGAGACTTAGCCCTTAAAAGAAGAAGGGAGAATCCAGGGCATCCCCCTCCCCCACTTCAGGTGGTATTTCAAGTAGTAGCTGTGACTTCTCCCAGTGACCCTCTAGCCCTTGGGTGGTAATGGATTCCTGCTGCTGCTCTTGTTTCGTGTCCTTAGTGTCTGGATAGCTCTTCTGTTCATGGCCCAGCTGGGCATTCCCTCCAGAGTGACAGTTCTCACTGAGTGGCTCTGGCTCTGGGTTTTGGTAACAGTGGCTCTTCCCTGTCTCCCTCTAGCCTTGGGGAAGAGGTGGGGAGGGGAACTGATCTCCAGTCTTGGTGTTCATCTCTGGGTTGCCAGTATCTCCTATGATGCTTAATTTTATGTGTCAACTTGTCTATGCTATAGTGCCCAGTTGTTTGATCAAATACTAGTCTAGAATCTGTTATGAAGTAATTATATGTGATTAAATCAATTGGCCTTAAGTAAAGCAGATTATCCTCCATGATGTGGGTCGGCCTCATATAAATAGCTGAAGGCCTTAAGAGCAAAAAGAGAGTTTTCCCTAGGATGTGTTCTTCCTCCAGACTATAAATATACATCTTACCAGAACTCTTCCACTATTCCCATCACCTGACCTACAGATTTTGGACATAAGACTGTAAGAATCTCTAGCCTCTCGCCTGACCTACAGATTTTGGACTTGCCAGCCTGCATAATAACATGATCCAGTTCCTTAAAATCAATCTCTTTCTCTCAAATATATCTATATATCTTGTTGGTTCTGTTTCTTAAGAGAATGCTGACTAAGACAGTTCTCAGTTCTTTTTCACTTCTATAACTAGCTTCTTATATTAAATTCCCTCTATTGAATCACCTGGAATGAGCTCTTTTTTTTTCTGACTAGATCCTGACTAATAAAACATACAACAATAATAAGTTAGATTTTATTTACCTGTGTTTGTGGTATGACTGATATCAATTTTTGTCTCTGTAACATATAATGTTTATATTTCTAAAAATCAACAAGAAAACTGGTCTTTTAAATACTTCAAAGGAAATTACCAAAGAAAGTTTTAAGGATTATCAGAAAAATAGTCAAATTATTATTGTAGCATTTTAAATAGCATTTGATATTTAAAATGAATAGACCTTTCCTAAAGGACAGGTTTTCCAGCTAATAAAAGTGCATGTCGTACATGTACTTGTAAGTTACCTTTCTCCCGTCTTTGTGATGGCTACTGAGATCTACTTCTATGCATCCTGGGCCTGGTGGGTGGCAAATCAGTGGTGTAAGAATGAAAGCACTATTATTTGGAAAACGGAATTCGGATCTCGTTTGGTTCCATACCTCCCAGGGTGCTTATGGAAACAAACAAACACCCTCTCCCCTCAAATTCCACTCCAGGTGTTGTTGAGAACAGGCATATTTTCCTACTGAAGGGTACACAATATTTCTAAAATTGGCCCCCAAGAGTAAGTGCTCTGTAATAGCTCAGCACTGATTTCTGCGATCTCCTTCAGTAACACCGTATGAACATAGCAGACATGATGCCAGAAATACTTCAAAATCTAGGCATAGAGATGTATGCAGACAGTCTTTTCTCTGAACTTAGGTGAGAGAAAAAGGCCTTTCTTCTGGAATGTGCAAATGGGTGTACAGGCAGTATGAGAGCACCCAGTCATGGCCTGCCAGAAGCCAGAGTAAGAAAAAGGATTAGAACTAGCATGCAGAGAATCTTTGTAGCAGTTTCTTTTCTCCTGCTAGTTTTTTTTCCCCTTCTTATATTCTGAAAACCAAATTTTGTAGTTCCATAAACTCTTTCACAGTGGTGGTCTACACTGCAGACTCAAAGGCCACACTGGAAAGGAAGCCTGAGCCAAAAGCATGACATCCTTTGGGTAGCAGCACAGCATGAGCCCAAGGCTTGTGGGTTCTCCTTATCGTATGACTTCAGGCATCACATGTCCAGGTTTTTCCCACTATCCAGAAAAGATGAGGGGCCCAGAATCCCATTGGTCTGGCATTTCCTGGCAATAGTCAAGGAAAAGTTTGGGGCCTCTGAAACTCAGAGGACACACTCCTACATACCACCAGGCAGCCTCATGTGAAGGAATTCCATCTGGATAAGAATCCAGAAGTAGGTTCGTAGGGAGAAGCAGGGCTGGCAGACAGCCCATACACACTGGTTCGGCTGGAGCAGTTTTTACAATATTGAAATACTTCTGCACTGATTGGAAAACAGCAGTGTCTCCAAGCCTCCTGAATGCCCCACACTGCCCTAGCTGTGTAGGACTCCTTACCCTCGAACTTCCCGCAATCCAACAACTCCAGGATTAACCCTGGCCAATGCAGGAGGCCTCAGGCACCCTGTCCTAGCAATCAAATGGGGTCCATTATGATGGGTTGGTTGCCATGACAACTGTTAACTATTTTTAATATCACTTCTGCTGAGAAAACATGAGACATTAAAACTAGGGTGATTCATCTCAGAAGTTTGTTTCCCTTCTTAAAGAAGCATGACATTCTTGAATCCTGGAATCACTGAGAGTTTAAGTCCACCAGAATGATTCTTCTCAGCTGCCAAAGATGTTACAGGTTCCAAAACCTCTACCTTTCTTTTTTTTTTTAAATTGTGTTAAGTATATATATAAGGAGTCCCTGGGTGGTGCAAATGGTTAAGCACTCAATTACTAGCTGAAAGATTGTTGGTTTGGACCTACCCAGTGGTGCCTCAGAAGACAGTCCTAGTGATCTGCTTCCAAAAGGTCACAGCCTTGAAAACCCTATAGAGAAGTCTACTCTGCACACATGGAGTCAACCATGAGTCAGAATTGACTTGATGGCAGCTAACAACAACCATATATATATATATATATATATATATATATATATATATATATAACAAAACATTGGCCATTTCATGTACAATTCAGTGACATTAATTATGTTCGTCGTGTTGTATAACCATCACCACTATCTGTTTCCAAATCTTCCCATCACCCTAAAAGAAGCTCAGTGCCCCTAAGCAGTGACTTCCTGTGTCCCCCTCTCTCCTGCTCCTGGTAACCACTAATGAACTTTGGTCTCTATGCATTTGTTTATTGTAGATATTTCATGTAAATGGGATCATACAGCATTTGTTCTTTTGTTATCGACCTATTTCACTCAGCATAATGTTTTTGAGGACTTTTCTCTTTATGGCAGACTAATACCCCATTGTATGTATGTACCTCCACCTTTTTATATCAGTAGAATTAAGGCTTTTCTAATCTCTCCACTGATAGTTGGAGTCCCTGGGTACTGCAAACGTTTAAGCACTGAGCTACTAACTGAAAAGTTGGTGGTTCAAATCCACCCAGAGGTGCCTGGGAAGAAAGGCTTGGCAATCTACTTTTGAAAGGTCACAGCCTTGAAAACCCTATGGATATGCAGTTCTACTGTGACACACGTAGGGTCTTCATGAATCAGAATCGACTTGACAGCAGCCGGTTGGGTTTTTTGTTGTTGTTTGCAGTGACACTTAGGCACTACACACCTAGGCTTTCACTCTAAGAATCCCTAATCATATTTTTCGGGGCATCTACCCTGCGTGGGTGGTTACACAGTCCCTGAGAATGGCCTAGCAGCCAACAGCATGGTGAGAGGTCTAGAGTGCCACGCAAATTGACTCCAGCTCCAGCTGTGCTATGTCACATTTATGTGACAGCCTGTCTGCTCCAAGAAGTGAATCACAGAAAATTAGAGATGGGAAAGACCTATTAGGTCATCTAATCCATACCCTGCCAGTTCACAATCCCTCCCCTGCACTCCATTTCCTAGTGCATCATCCAGTGTAGTTTTAAATAGCAAGGGAGCGCTGCCTTCTTTACAGAGATCCTCTCTAGCACGTGCAGCCAAAGGCTCACTGTTTGATGCCTGCTCAAGGTTTATGTATGCAGTAACATCATGGTTACTACTTGCCCCAGCCGGAAAAAGCCCCTGAGAATGATTCGAAAGTGGAGACCCTCTCTTTGCTAGAACAGACCACTTTCAGGAAGATCAAAGGACTGTGTTACCTCACTTTAACTTCTGTTATTTTAGTTATAAGCTTATTTGGCATTGTTTGGTTTTTGCTTTCTTTAACAATGGCTATGACTAAGGAGTACCGTTGGTTTTTGGTTCCCACATTTACTTGGTTCACTTTTTAATTTGATTACTCATTCCCTTACTTTCTACATTGTGTTTATGTTCCAGCCCATCACTGCAATACAAATAAAGGCTATTCTAAATAATCAAATGGTTTCCCTATTCCATTTCCTAATCTTTCTTTGTCTTCTCAGTTTTAGCCAATCCAAGAGGAAAAACAGTAAGTATGGTACGCACTTTCTGGGCAGTCTAATTTAAGAAACATGCCCGTGTTTTCGTTTACGTATGCCCAGGCAGTAAACTTCACTGTGGACACCATCCAAGAATGCATTTGAGGCTTACCTTAATCTGACCCTTTAAGCAAGGCTCACTGCACACAGACCGTACCACTCCGCTCTTATTCATCTGGATTTTGTAATCATCAATGTTCAGCACCCCTTCATGCCAGGTTCCAATATGTACATAGTCATAGCGATTAGCTTCAGTGTATTGCAGATTCATGATATCATATCTACAAAGAAAACAATATGTGGGTCATGGAAAATATGAACATCTTGTAGAAAACAAAGAAAATATAGTATATGGATAACAGTAGAGAGAAGGGAGATAAAAGAGTCATCGCAATATGTCAACATTTTAGTTTTTTTAGTATGTGTCCTTTGGTATTCCAAAATGTATATTCCATTCTTCAGCCTCTGTTTTGTGTATCTTCCATATTTATTAACTCTTAAACTTTTCTCACTCTGCTTATTTCACAAAAAATAGTTCAGTGTGTGCTGAGTAGATAATGATCTCCTTCAAATCAGCATTTACTGTGTGATTCTTTCAACAAGTAACAATCTTTTAAACATTAATTTCTTAATTTGATTACTTTTATTCCAAATTTCTTTTGCACATTCAGTTTTCATTTTCACTACGCTGAATTAAAATAGGTGAGTTTTACCAAGCCTGATGCCTTTTTTTAGGTGCTAATAGAGCAAGAAATCTGAGAAACACACATTTAATTAGTAAGGATGTTAGGGATTTAACAGCTTGTGCATTGACATTTAAACTGATCTCTTCACTGATTAGGACAAACATTTTGAATCCAAATAATTGTTGTCAGCTATTTCAGTAATTTGAAATGCTGCAATGTTACAAGATGACAAAATCTACATTTAAAAATATTCACTGTTGCCAGAGTGTATTCTGCGGGTTAGACTTCATTTTCCAGTGCTGGCAGTGGAGGATATTTTCCAATGGAAAGAACATAGGACTTGATGTTAGAATGTGCAAGCTGAGGTCTCTTTTCTAACATTTTAACAGCAGATTATACTACTTAGAAATGTCACTAAACACTTTAAACTTCATAGGGCTCTTCTGGGGATGTATTAAGATAAGGCAAGTAAAACTACTTTACAATTGGGACAAGCGTATATGTAAGGCAACATCAGTATACCATTCATATTTATAATACTATGAATACTTTAAAGTACTCTCATTATTTACATAAATATAAGGAAACTGGAGAACTTCTTTTGTTGGCATAATTATTTATCTCTTGGCCATTCAAAACTCTCTGGTATTGTTAAATCTTTTTTTTTTTTTTTCATATTGCTATTTTCCCCAAGTAAACTGTAACTCATGTGCTTTTTCCACAAATCATGCCTGGTTCTCTCCCTTACAGGCTATACAAAGTGTGATTTGTACCTATGCAGCGTCCTCACACTCCTAGGCTAGAACAGAAGAGGCATGGTCTCTTGCTCTTTATGCTTGACCCAAGGAAAGGGGTGGCAATTAAGTAACACATAATTAGCTCTCTTCCTCCCCTAGGCACGCACACGCACACGCACACGCACACGCACACGCACACGCACACACACACACACACCCGTAATCCTTCCTGGTATTCTTTGTCCCTGAACCTGACTCAGAATCTTTCTCAGCCTAACACTCCAGGAAGCTACTACCAATCAATGTTAGCATCAGAAACGTATTGGCTGTATGGAAGAACCCAGTTCTTTCTCTGGACAACTAATATCAGATTGACGGTTTTCCTGCCTGTTCTTACTGTGCAGATTAGTTCTGTCACCTATTGGGTAGCCAATGGCTTCTCCATATCCATATTCTGGCAACTTTTACAAATAGTTGTCCCCTAAAAGAAAGGGGACACTGGGAAAATAAGAGAAGTTTCCTTCTCTGCCAGGTGAGCAAAACTTACCTAGAGTGAGAGGAGAGAATGGTGTACCTGGATCACATAATTTATCTCTTTGCTGTTCTAACCTATAGCTAATAGAGGATTATTATGTCTCTTGTTGCTGGGACAGCCCAGAACTTTCTTCGGACTAGCTCTCTGAGTGATATTCAAATGGGTATTAACTCTGGGCTAATGGCTCACACTCATTCTGTTGATCAATGGTACTAATCTACACCTCCAATATTTTCCCATTCTAAACTCATTATGGCTATAAAACCTGCTGGGAATGCTTGGCATGAGTAATTTTCTTTATCATTTCCTTTAATTTTTGTGTTTTACTCCATTTAGGTTATTATAGCTCCTTACATACATCAGTAGCATCACTAGCGGGGCGCGGGGGATGTGAACTATACCTGGTGACATTGTCAGAGAGGGTAACATCAAAATGACTGTCTATAAAATTCTGTGAATATTTCAGTAGAATTTATTTTTTTATAAAAATATCCCTGTAGTTAATTATAACAACAAAAACATTTTTTTGTAAGTTCAGCTTACATGTATCAATATACCTACAAGGCTAAAACTCTATGCTAATTTACTTTTTGAAGCTTCTAATGCACTCTGGTCAGAGCTGTTATTATTAGCCAATTACAATGATGCTTCGAATCATGTGGTTTCATCTGCACGAGCTACAAGCACGCACTGTTGTTTCCATTGCTGCCAGTGTTTTTATAGTCGTTGATTTTGTCAGTTTTTCAGTGTTTTAGCTACCGTATTGTTGTAATTAGTATTTGTGAACCTATATCAATAACTTTTTTGAGAACAAAGTAGTAATTGAAGGAAAAGAAGAAGTAATATATGGGAATTATAATTTATGAGTAAGATTAATACAAAAAAAAACATTTATTTCTAAGGATGCTGTATGGTCTGGTCCATAGCGGGGGTTAGGGGTGACTCCATGAGTTACTGCTCTGGCTGACACCAACCCTAGTGATGCCACTGCTCTCCATGAAGGTTTTGCTGCAATGCTAGCTTTAGAATATTTCTTCCCTACAAATCAGTTCCCTAAGACTTATTTCAATTTCCTGATTTGCTCTTTCATAAGGGAAATCAGTTCACACTTCATTAGCATTTAGAAACTGAAAATTTTCACAATATTTTGGTATGAAAACACATTTCTAAAAAGCCCCAAAAGCTGGAGGGGAAAAAACAAAAAAGGAATTCTGAAAGATACCGAGGGAAAAACACTGACTTACTAAAATGAGGCCCTCCCATGTGTTGCGTATGTGCTCTTTTCACTACCCCAGGCTCCTTCCCGGCACATTGGCATTTACTTAGAATATTCTCATGCTGTAAACTACATCATTACAGCATCCTCGAGATGATTCAGATTATGTTGCATGATGATTAACTAAAATAATTACAAGAGGGACCAAAAGTGGGAATGATGGCATGACAGGAGATAGAAGTAGAGGGAGGTGGTTGAAACAGAAATTGAAAACAGATTATTAAGCTGACCAATTTCAAGCATGAGGAAATGATCCCTGAAAAGGGACCCAGGGGAAAGCTCATGATCTGAATATGTAATTAAAGATGGAGGAGAAACGAGCTAAAATTGTGTGCCTATATTTTGGATAGGAGTCCTTGGGTGGTGCAAATTGTTAATGTGCTTGGCTGCTAACCACATGGTTGGAGGTCCGAGTTCACCCAGAGGCTCTTCGGAGGAAAGGCCTGGTGATCTATTTCTGAAAAATCTGCCACTGAAAACCCTATAGAGCACAGTTCTACTCTGACACACTTAGGGTTTCAGTGAGCTGGAGTCGACTCCACAGTAGCTGGTATGTTTTGGATAACCTACAGAGAAAGCAAGAGGACACTCATATCTACAGAGTGTCTAAAAGGTATTTGGCCTGTGCTCAGCACATTTTGTACTTTATCTTATAGAATCATGAAAAAAGATTTCCATTCCAAATCTGACCCTTCACTGGGCCTAGTTTCCAGTGGAACGTAGGATTACAACCAAGGGTGTAGAAGGTTAGGTAGTCAGTGTTCTAAACCGCAGCCCCACTTGTTTCTCCTGGTACCATGTCCTAAGGCACTCAGCCCTCAGAAGCTTCCCACATGCCCAGACCCTGGACCATCTCATCCATCCCACTTGTAGTCCAACGAAAATCTGCCCCCACATAACTGGCAGTTTGGAAGGAATCTGATTAATTCATTGTTTCAATTGTCGACAATGACTTATAGCACTTGCCCTCCCTACAGGGAAGACCCTCAATGAGAATGATTGAAACAGTGGCTGCAACAATGAGCTCAAGCATAACAACAATTGTGAGGATGGTGCAGGACTAGGCAGTGTTTCCTTCTGTTGTACATATGCGTTGGAACCAACTCAACAGCACCTAACAACAGATGGTTACTTGTTGCTGTTGAGTTGATTCTGACTCATAGTAACCCTATAGAAGAGAGTAGAACTGCCGCATGGGGTTTCCAAGGCTATACATCTTTACAGAAGCAGACTGCCACCTCTTTCTCCTGAGGAGTGGCTGGTGGGTTCGAATGACGGACCTTTCAGTTAGCAGCCAAGCACTGAACCACTGCGCCAATTAGGTTTAATTTCTACATGTACAATTCAGTGACATTAATTACATTCTTTGAGTTGTGTAACCATTCTCACCCTCCTTTCTGAATTGTTCCTCCCCCATTAACATAAACTCACTGTTCCCTAAGTTTCCTATCTAATACTTCGAGTTGCTGTTGTCCAATTTGATCCCACATAAATATATGTTAAAAGAATACAATGTTCAAGGCAGACATTCTTTACCAGTTAAGCTAAACTATTGTTGGTTTGACTAAGTCTTTAATAGTTACAAGGACTCAGTCCCCAACAGATAATTGTTTCCCTTCTTTTTCTAAGAGACACGTTAGCAGAAACACAAATTAGCCTGAGCAGAAGAAATACATGAGCAGGATTTGGTTCTCTTCCTAAATAAAGCTTTTTTAAAGCAGGTGTAGTATTCAAAATACTTCACAACCAGTATAGCATTGGGATCTATCAATCAGAAAAGATGCCAGCCTGGTGCTTGCAGGGCCAGAGAGGCTCCTGCTGGCCAGGTGTAACCTCTTTAGGTTCTTGGGCTTGCAGAGAGGTCCCAGTGGTTCCAAGAGAAGGGCCAGGGTGATAGCTGGGCAGGGGGGTAGGGCTGGTGAGATAGAGGGTTGTGGATGTTAACCAGTAAGCACTTTAAGATTTTAAAAAGCTGTGTGGTCTTTGGTGTGTTCCATGGTAATATCAGCCTGTCTTTGCAACTATCTAGCTGCATTTATCCTCATGATTCCCAGAGATTATGAAACTGAAAGAGCCAGAGTTGCCATCTGCCTGGTCTTAGGAGGCTCACAAGGTTATTCAGATCCTTTAATTTAAAGAAAACTGCTTTACCTTCCAGGAGCATCCCCTTTTTCATCAAACCACACCTCCTCTCCAGATACGCCGATGAACGAGGATTTGATGAGGAAGTCCAGGAGTTTTTGGCCATCAATGGGCTTCATGGCATCACAGAGGCCCACGTGGCCTGGACAGAGTGCGTGGTGCATGTTCTGCAGCCCATGGGCCATGGCGTAGATGGCATTGATGACAAACCCCATTTTACTGTCCTGGACATAGTTCTCTTCTAAGCTTTCATTGCCTGTAACAATAAAAACATATCAGTAGCAGGTAGTAATAGTGAAGACCAGACCTGCATGTGTAACTCTCGAGCTTTTCAGGGCTCCCAGAAGAAGGGAAAATATGCTGCAGAAGACCTTTCTGAAGTTTTAAAAAGCAAAGATGTCACTTCGATGACATCTGACCCAAGCAAGTTTTCAGTTGGCTCATATGCACGTGAAAGACAATGAAAAAGGAAGACAGAAGGGGAATTGATGCTTTTGAACTATGGTGTTGGTGAAGAATATTGACTGTACTGTGGACTGCCAAAAGAACAAACAAATCAGCCTTCAGAGAAATACAATCAAATGTCCCTTAGAAGTCAGAATGGGGAGACTTTGACTCACTTACTTTGGACACATCACGAGGAAAGATTAATCACTAGAAAAAGACATCATGTTTGCTAAAGTAGAGGGCCAGCAAAAATGAGAGAAACCCTCAATGAGGTGGATTGACACAATATCCACCACAACTGACTCAAACATACTGTCATGGATTGAATTATGTCCCCCCAAAAATGTGTGTATCAAACTGGCTAGGCCATGATTTCCAGTATTGCGTGGTTGTCCTCCATTTTGTGATTGTAATTTTATGTTAAAGTGGATTAAGATGGGATTGTAACACCCTTACTAAGGTCACATCCCTGATCCAATGCAAAGGCAGTTTCCCTGGGGTGTGGCCCGCACCACCTTTTATCTTACAAGAGATAAAAGGAAAGCGAAGCAAGCAGAAAGTGGGGACCTTATACCACCAAGAAAGCAGCACCAGGAGCAGAGCATGCCTTTTGGACCTGGGGTCCCTGTGCCTGAGAAGCTCCTCGACCCGGGGAAGATTGATGAGAAGATCTTCCTACAGAGCTGACAGAGAGAAAGGCTTCCCCTGGAGCTGATGCCCTGAATTTGGACTTTTAGTCTACTTTACTGTGAGGAAATAAATTTCTCTTTGTTAAAGACATCCACTTGTGGTATTTCTATTATAGCAGCACTGGATGACCAAGACACATACCAAGGATCATGAAGATGGCACAGGATTGGGCAATGTTCATTCTGTTATACATAAGATTGCCTTGAGTTGGAGTCCACTCCATGGCAACAAACAACAAAAACAGGAAGGGAGGGAGAAACGACATTGGCAAAAGCCAAGCCCACCTCATTCAAGTTTTATACTTGTGATTAGCTCTGGTGTAGTCTACCTGCAAATAGTTTATTCAGTTTAATTTTCTGTATCCAGGAATGTTTTTATAAGATATAAAACAAACTTCACAGAGATGAAAATAAAGAACTTTCACATATTACAAGGGAATCCTGAAGGAACAATGGAAATAACTCTTATTCCGTCTTGGTTTACAGGGACTTATATTAAAAGTCTTTCTATATCACAGTACTGGAATACCATTTTTCATATCCTCTATGACAATCCACAATCCACAGTAATTCAGTTGTACAATATCTGAACTCTGATATTTTCTTTTGGCAATTTCACTATTTTTATCATCTCTAGAGCCACAAAGACCTAGAGATGGAAGAAGAACTAGGTAGAATGAGTCTCTTCTTATATATGGTTTGCAGCACAGAGATATTTAAATCTGATTTTCTGATTACTAGAAACTCAGGTAAAATATTTCTTGATGAAGGAGTTACACTAAACATTTAATTTGGGCCTTTAGCTTCTATCTGTAAATGTCAAAGACCCTGCAATCATTTCTGGCTATGTTACAGGGAATCAAAGTTCCCCAATTGCCAAACATTTTCACAGGAACAGTATTGCATTAGATTAGATATAAGCTTATATTAGAAGTTTAAACTTTAGAACATATATGGACAGGAAATGTGGTGACCAATTGCATTTGTTGGAAAAAAATGTAACTGGTTTGGAAAACAAAATGTATTTGGAGCACAAAACTGGCATTAGAGATCTTATCCTTAGTTCCAGAAACTTGCTTTTCTCTGCAGTGGGCTTTCCTTCCCCCACCTGACTGACAGTGAGGGTCTCTGTGATGTATGCTCATGGTTCTAAAGGGCGGGAAGGTCAGCAAGTTCAGTTGTTTATGATGTTGAGAACCACATGATGCTCCTTGTACTCCCTACCATCTGCCTTGTTTGTTCCAGCCCAAATAGGTCACTGGACACTGAGGTACCTGGGCTGGAAAGCAGTAGAGTGTTTAAAAAGTTAGAGAGCCTAGAGTGCTTAGAGAAGACAGTGAAGAGTTTTGATTTGATGTTGAGCTTGGAATAAAGTAACAACTTTCTAAAGATTTCAGCTTAAAGGCTGATTTATTTAGATGTAATTGAAAATATGTGAAATATATATGTGCATCTACCCTAAGAGTGAGGTACTAAACACCTAGAACAGTTTGAAAGGGATAAAATCCAATTTTAACTCATCCTGCAACTTTCTTTAATAGGAAATTGCTAAAACTGTAATTTGCTAAAAGTGATATTTTCTTGAGGAAATGAAGAGTAAGAGAAGAAAAAAAGGGCATTTGCAAATAAAAGCATGCGGAATATGTTCGGAAGGTTATATAAAGCAGAAAGCAAAGATCCTCCTTGCCGAAATTGGAAATTCATTGAAATAAGGTAACTTCTGTTTGTTACCAAGAGCCACTGGCCCTTAATGTTAGTTTTCCTTCCCTCTCTTTCAAACTTATTAGGATAATAAAAGCTATAAATTAATATCATCTCCAATAAGTTTTAAACATTAAGCCTTTAAAGGCTGCCCAAAGTGCTGGAGCTAAATATTAAAGCTGCTAGAATCAGAAAAATTATCATTAGTTAAAGAAAGTAAAAATTGACCAGCAAAATAACCTTAATCAGAAAACTTACCATTAGTTAAAGAAAGAAAAAAAAATAGAGTGGCAAAATAACTTTCAAGGCTGCAGTCACCTTAAAGGGCCCTTAGTCAATACTAATGCATCCACCGAAAGATGCCGCTATTATAGTCAACGCTAGGACCAAGCTGTAGGAAAATACAAGAAAGAATACAACGTGTTCTTTATCAAATGGAAAATTCTTTGTTAGAGACAAGTCTATGGCCTCTGACTTGTTGTGATAACTGCCATCTAAGATTTATGATATAAAAATAAATTATATGGTGTTCCCAGTACAAATGTCTTCAGCCACAGTTGTCTAGAGAGTGCTTGATCCATCAGGGCTCAGTTTGTGCAAGACAGTAACTGTTCGTAGATTTCTCTGGGATCAAGGTTTTCTTTTTGATCCATATTTACAGTGATTATATAATTTATCACCCAAACTGGGCCACGTGTGGGAGTGAGAGTGAGTGCTAGTAATAATTATTCCAGAACACAGCATAAACCAGGCAAATTGGGCAAACTGCTGCATCTCTGGAGCCACGCTGCCCTCTAACTGGATATACTGATGTTATTTTCATGGGTAAGATTTATATATAAATATCTATTCTGACAATAAACAATCAGTACTATACTCTTATTAATTTTTAATTAATTTTACCTTTGTCTAATGTTAATGGGAAATATATAAAACAATAATGATACTACCTTTTTAACATTTGTTATACATAATACTCAGTACATTAGCTCAAGTATTCACAATACTCCTGCCAAATAGACATTAATCTCATCATCTTACAGGTGAGGAAAGAGCAGTGGAACAGCATGGGTTCAAATGCCTCCTTGGTCCTTGCTCTGTCTGTTACCCTCAGTTGTAAAGTGGGCATAGACACAGAAATCTACAGAGAAGCAGGGATGGACTACCCAGTAAGCAAGGTAAGTACATGCTTAGGGCATCAACGAAACAGGGGCACCAGTTGTACAAAACAAAGATCCAGAAATGTCAAGCAGGTAGGACACAAGGAAAAGTGAGCGCTGCAGTAGAAGGAAACTGGCAGGGCACTGAATGAAATTGATACTGTCTTAGGCTGGGTTCTCTAGAGAAGCAAAACCAATAAAGCGTATAAATATAAATATAGAGAGAGGTTTATATCAAGGAAACAGCTCACGCGATTGTAAAGGCTAGAACGTCCCAAGTCTGTGGATCAGAGTAGAGGCCTCTCCCAAGTCACGCAGCCACAGAAGCTGGCAAGCCCAAGCTTGGCAGGTCGGAGAGCAGGGCTCCTGCTCACAGGCTGGAAAGGTTGACAAATTCCAAGATCAGTAGGAAAGACCACAAGGTTTCTCCTGATTCACGTAGCTACAGCGGCTGGTGAACCCAAGATCAGCAGGTCAGAGAGCAGGGCTCACAGGCCGCTCCGAGTTCGGCAGATAAGCTGAAAGCTCAAGTCCCAAGAACTGGAGATGAGATGACAGGAGGCAGCTGCAGGATCCAGAGAGAGCAAAAAGCCAGGACGTCTGCTTATATTCAGATGCAGGCCACACCCCCAAGGAAACTCCCTTTCATCTGATTGGCTACTCACGGTATATTCAATCCTGGGAGTGATCACATTAAAACACTGAGAATCATGGCCCAGCCAAGTTGACACACAATCTTAACCGTCATAGATACCAGTTCCAGTGCATGAGAATGTGCTGGTTGGAAATGAAGTTCATGCCCACATGCCAGGTTAAGGCTATAAGGCTATAAGGCTTCTACCTTTTCAACACCTTTGTTGACATGTCTCCTATGGTCTCCAGTGTAATTGAAACTCCTTGTCTTGACAGGTCTCTTGGGAGTATACTATTTCTTTCTAATAAATAAGAGGTGGGGGTGGGCTGTCTAGCCTACCTCTTGCTACATTCACCCAATATGCAACTAGATCCAACATGAGTCGTATTTAAAAAAAAGTTACATAATGGATAGCTAAGACTCACACATACAAATATACAGGTATATATGTAACTCACATATCCTGTTCAAATGCTTGAGTAAGCAGAGGAGGGGGCACCACAGATTATCAGTGCTTAGGGCGCTCGTATGCCTTAATCAGGCCCTGCAGAGAAGGCACTTTTCTGGTGACATGGCAGCCTGCTGTGCAAAAGCATCATCGTCAAGCCTGGTTGGGGTTTCTCCC